CTTATGGTTAGGTTTCCTTGGAACATATTCTATCTCACCTGGGTATCCCTCTTCAAGCCTTCCCTGGCTGTGAGTTCCAGGACAGAAGGGGTCACATGTTATGTGCTTCCCTAGTGCTTTGGAGTCTGCTGGCTTAGAGAATGCACCCACACCTCTGCTTTGTCTCATAAAGGAATGCAATCGAATTGAAGAGCTCACAGAATGCTGGCAGACTTGCCTAAGTCCAGCTCAGTGTGAAACAAGTCTTTAGGCTTTACTGTATGCACATCAGTGTTCACAGTTACAATGGCTAGCATCATCAACAGCATCATTTCACAGAATATGCCGCAGGCCCGATCTCACAGTAGCAACACACGTGTTAAAGAGACACATTACTGCCTTCTCTAATGCCGAAAAACCGTGTTTCTTAACCAATGTCAATATTTAGGTATCTACATGCTACATTTTCTTCATAAGAGTGAGTGATTATTTCCACCATGGACTCTGGGAAACTGAGGTCAATACTAGGGTAGTTCTTTATTGTAACATCACAACCTACAGCAACTGAGGGAGGCAAGGACATACTGCTGAACAGGCTTTGATCACAGTGCATGATAAAGAGAAGTCAGGGCAGGCACTCAAGGCTTGAACCTGGGGTTGGGAACTGAAGCAGTGACCATGAGGGAATGCTGCTTACTGGCTTCATCTCAAGGTCACATTAAGCTCCCTGTCTTATACCTCAGGACCACCTTCTCAGGGATGAGACTGCCCACAGTGGTCTGGGGAACCTACCATATCAATAATTAATGAAGAAAAATCCCACAGACTTTCCTACAGGCTACTCTGATAGAGGCATTTTCTCAGCTGAGCTTCTCTCTTCCCAGATGACCCTCACTTGTGTGAAGTTGAAAAACCAAATCAAACAAAAAACGAAAAGAAACAAACTAGCCAGCATATATATTTGAATGGAAATGTTCTCTTCTGGGAAGTCTATTCCTTCTTCTCATTTCTTCCTTTATACATTTCATCAAGGAAAATCAGAAAAAAATCTTTTTCAAATCAAAATTAATTTTATGTTCTTTTGCCAACAACCACATTCCATTCTAAGGAGGGCTGTTCAACTGTGTGGACTAGAAATACCAGTGGAAGCCCGCGAGGGGACAACAAGGCCTTTGGTTGTGGGACCTGAGACAGTGCCATCCATATTCTTAACCTACACAATGTTTCAGATCAAAGGGTTGGGGCTTTAGGTAAATCACACTCAGAGCTTGATGGTGGGACAGTTAAGAGAAATCTGATTTACTGATTTGCCTGAGAGGGAAAATTTATTTTGAAACTTGGAATGAGTCAACACGAACTCCATCAACAAGACTGCTTTGAAAGTCTATCCAAAACCATGCAAAAATAAGCAAAGGAAAAATTCTTGGAAACATTTTAGAAAGTGAATGACCTGCCCACACCTTCTCAATATTTCTTCCCTAGATCATATTGCCCTGACAAAAATGAATAGGGCTGGTGGGTACCTGAGCCTTTTTGCCACCAATGGTTGAGAGAGAATTTTAGAATAAAACTCACTGGTTTTGTGACACAATTCATTTGGTAGCATATGAAGAAGCAAAGCCACTGTAGAGACCTTAGTCCTGGTCAAACAAAGGTTCCTCAGGATTGAGAGTAGGGGTGAGGCTGAGGAATGGCTTCAGGAAGCAGCTGAGGAAGGAGGGAAGCGACCCTGAAGAACCCTGTGCTAGATGGGGTCCTTAGCTTTGGACAGCACCCAGGATTGTTTCAAACTGGTGCCATGTTCCTGCACTCTTGGAGACAGAGAGGTTGTTATGATTACTACTATTATAATCATCTTAATCATGGATTTATTATTATTACAATTACTGCTATTACTGTGTAATTGTGTGTGTGTGTGTGTGTGTGTGTGTGTGTGTGTGTGTGTTTCTTTCTGTATGGCTTTGTATATAGGAGAGCAGGTCCCCAAGGAAGTCAGTGGCATGAGATACCCTGGAGCTAGAGTTACAGGTGGAGGGAGGAAAGAAGGAAGGAGGAAGTGAGGGAGGGGAGGGGAAAAGAAAGGAAGGGAAAGGAAGGAAAGGGAAGGAAGTGGAGAGATAGGGGAAGGAAAGGGAAGGGAAGGAAAAGGAAGAAGGAAAGAAGAAAGGGGTGGAAGAAAGAAGGGATGGAGGGAAAATAGCTCTCTTGTATTTAGGACATCAAATCACTTTCTGGATTTTTACCATTGACATCTATCTATCTATCCAAATAAGATGAAACACACAGGCACTCATGCACACACACCAGCAGCAGCAGCAGCAGCAGCAGCAGCAAATCATGCTAAATTTCTTGCCAAATCCTGCGTTTCTCTGTAAAACAGTCTTAACTTAGTCATAAGCTAAGTTTATGATGCAACTCTCCTACCTCCAGCCCTTCAATAAGAAAATGTCTCCTTTCATACTGGTGACCCGAGTCCTGCTCCCACTTCTTAACCCCACCACGCCACCCAGTCACCATCCTTCCCTTTATGCTGTAGTCATCTTGCAGCTCAGCCTTCCACATAGGATGCCAGACATGTGCAGACACACTCTCATTTACAGGGCCACAAGGCTCGAGGTGGGGAGGGGGAGATGACCCTGTCCACTGATACTGTAAGATACCACAGACTGTGACAAAATAAATTTCTTCCTCAAAGTCCAAGATCAAGGCAGCTGCTGAGGGTGGCAGGGGCTTCACTGCTCACAGAGGGCTCTTCTTTATGCATTCTCACACACTCTTACACACTGAAGGACACAAGAGCACAACACTCATGAGGGCTCTATTCTCATGACCTTGCCACCCCAGTGGCCCCACCTCCTACATCATCTTGGGGGTAGAATTTCCATAGAGGGACTTCAGGGAACTAGAAACAGCCCATTGTCCCACTTTGGATCCTCTGCCATTCCTGCATAACTGAATGCTACTCAGGTTCACAGCTAAACCTAAGTCTGGCCTCCTTTAAAGGTAAAAATAGGAAATGCTCTCCCAAGCTCTGTGTTCAATCACGACGCTCTATCCGCACTTTACTTGAGATAGTTATTTTCTACCTTGTACTAGAATTTTCCATGTTTGAATCTTAGTCCCTTCACTAGAGCATCAACTTTTAAAAGGAAAGACACTCAGCCTACATTTGAACATTTACCTTTGTTTTGTGAAACTGCATTTATTATTTATTTTGTGTGCATGTGGAATGTTTATCCAAGCACATGGAAGTCAAAGGAACACTGTGGGGGTCAGGTTTTCTCCTTCTGACAAGTGGGTTCAGGGGTCTGGACTCAGGTCATCAAGCTTAGCAGCAAACACCTTTACCTACTGGGCCATCTCGCTGGTTCCTAAGCTTATCTTTCACCCTTGAAATCTAGCATAGTTCCTGAGTCGTGAAAACATGAGTGCATATGGTCTGTGGTACCAATAATTCCTGCTTCTAACTAAGTGAGAAACTTTAAAAATTAGTTCAAAAACAGTCATTTACTTTGTTAGAGAAATTAGATCACGAAGAACAAAAATGGTCCCTATGCCAATATACCTAATATTTGTTATTTACTTCCCTCCAACACTGTGACTTTATAGGCTATTTGCAACTCTGCTAAAACTCTTATGCTAGAAATTTTATCAAATGACACTGATGATGACCGTGACAACAAATGTAAAAACCCCAGTATCCTATTATTTATCTGCCAGGCAAATGATAGAACTGGGAGGAATAAAAATGGATGCGGGGGGGGGGGAGCAGAACCTAACTTTAAATTCACATCTGCTAGAATTGTATGCATGTTGACTTTTAATCGTAGGCCACACTTGGGGGGTGACAGAATCTAGGCAAACCATAGCAGTGCCACTACCACCGGCAGGCCACAAGCTCAAGCATTAGAGAGTCACCCTGTTGTGCATAAACAACCATCTGAAACTGTGCGAGCCGGAAGGCAAACTCCTCTAGGGCCATCCCTACATGAGCACAAGCCTGACTTACAAACACCAGCTGCCGCGTGCTCCAAAGAGTGCCACCCTTGTCACTAGTTCCTCCTGCCCACCCCTGCTTCAGAAACAAAATCATAGCCCAGGCTTTTCTACTCATAAACTCTTACTTAAAGAACCATCAAAAATTGAATCCACTGCAAATAAAGATGAAGTGAAAAGGGCTTTAGAGTCCAAAGAAAGCTATTTTGCTAGTATGGTCTTTTTGGGGGGCTGGGGGATGTAGAACTTAGATCATTTCATTTTCTGATCTAATTACTTAAGGGCCTTCTAAAGAAAAGGAGCTGGAAGAAAAGCACACGGAACATAAACAGCTGTCATGGAATAGGTTAGGCAGCGTCAGTGTGCTGAGCCATTCCTGTGTGGAACAAGCAGCACACTGACAGGAACAGCTTGCAAACCTTCTAGTCCTAGGTCCTTCAGAAAATCCAGGGCCCTGCCTAGCCAACATCAGCAGTTACTTTTTTCCCAGGGAGTTTATGGTTATTTGAGAGGGATGGCATTTTTATGATATGTTTTCATCAAGAAGTGTGAACTAGCACAGGCTACCCCTGTGCAGAGGGACTAATTGGACTAAAGCCAACCTGGAGAATCAGCCATGACTTCAGAGGTGTGTGTCAAGGAAAACGCTCTCAGAAAACACGGGATGGGATTAAATTTATAAGACCTGAGTGATTGTGCATACAGATACCAGGGGCTTGAAGCAGAAAGCCTAAGTAAGTAACGGAGGATTTTAAATTCATGGGGAAGAAACATAAATGCCCCCCCAAGGTCAAAGACTCAGTTGTCACAAACTGAGTGTGGAGTTTCTAGTATTTATATAGTAATTTCAAAGAAAATGCCAGAACTGACAGGACTTGCATGCTACAGACTTGGAACCAGCTCCTGCTGGGTGGCCCGTCTGTGTTCTCTGACTTTAATCTCATGTGGTGCACAACTGGGGAAAACGGTATGCACACTAACCGAGCAAGAGGCAAAGTTCCTTGCTGGCGGTTGAAATTACCTACCGTGCTCCAGCAATTTTATGGGAACCCAGAAGAGGATGAGGGAGTGGACCAAGGCATTGATGCAGTGACCCCAGAAAACCTGCAGGAAGACAAACCAGGGGATCAGAGCGTTGGAGACTCTGTGTGGGACTTGCAACAGACGAAAGAGCAATGTGAAGGCTCTTTGTGTGGTCTGGGCACTTCGGCAAGGAACATTCTTAGTCTCAAATTAAAAAAAAAAATACCAATAGAAAACAAAACAAAAACTGTTCCCTCCTATTGACATGTAGGTGGCAGAATGATCTCCAGATAGTACTTTAGGACAAAACCTGCATGGAGAAGACAAACAATCCAGTCACTTCTGAAAACTGAGCTTTAACATATGAGTATTCCTCGTCTCAAGAGGACACTTCATAATCACCCAGAAAAGGTATGGAGCTTAAAACTGGATGGTAAAAAACTACACTTTTGTTCATTTTGAAAACATTAAAACCCATTTTATGTATAAATTTCCATTGTTTTCCTCCTTAACGGCTTAAAATACTTTTCCATTCATTAAAAAAATCATCTTGGAGGTCACACACACTAAAAATTCTCTTTGGGGGCTGGTAAGATGGCTCAGTGGGTGAAGGTGCTTGCCACCAAGTCTGAGGACTGGAGTTCAATCCCCAGGAATCACATGGTTGAAGGAGAGAACTGTCTGCTAAGAGTTGTCCTCTGACCTCCACACACCCACAGCGACATGGTGCCACCTCCCCATATACAAAACCAATCAATCAATCAATAAACAATGTGAAATTTCTCTTTCAATGTTTTCAATATTAAATAAAAGCTCACAGAGCTCTGATTACTTGAAATGATAGTGTCATGAGCCTTTTAACATTTTTAAAAGCTATTTTTTAAAGTCAGGCTATCCACCTGCCATATTACTAAGGCCCAGTCCAGCCCCTTTTGGTAGTCTGTTTAACTCCTGAGATGATAATACTTCTAAATCCAGGTGTCACTTGCTCAGTGCTCTACAGGTTGCTACAGAATGTCACGTAGGTGCTTAAACACCAGTTAGGAGCAGAAAACAGCAAGAGACATTACATTATAAGGCAACTGGATTTATCCCGTTTTATTTACCTGTCAGTTTACTATGATGAATGGTGTCAGATTCAGGCCTCATGGGTGCTAGGAAATGCTGGGCCATGGCTCCATAAGCTCAGCCCTTATGCGTTCACTTTCCCCCACCCTTTTCCTGACTTCTCCATTAAAAAAGCCCAAAGCCAATAACCTTGCTGGGTGCCTGCATGGGACGGAGGCCTACCCAGTTCTTCTGCTTTCAGTGTGGTTTCATTTTTTGCTTACATGCCACCCCTAAAGATTCAAACTCTAGAGAAAAGAGTCGACTTGTGAAAGCAAAGCAGTATAGAGAAAAGCATTATAACTCCACACTGATAGACTCAGTAAGCGGTGGCCCATAAGTTAGTCACCACGGAAGGAAAATAGCAGACCCAATAGGATTCCTCTTCTCTGCTCCAGTCTTGCATCTGCCTTTTAAACTTGTCCAAGGATAAGGCAGCCATGACAGTCGACCTTCAGCAACATCTGCTTGGGAACATCCTGCAGAGGTGGTCCACTATATCCTTGCAGTCAGTCCCCTCCCACACCACACCACGGTCATACTGCCACACTCATCTTCCACCTCCTCTACAGGGGAGATCCGTGGCTTCCCTTCAGGCAGCAGCAGCCAACAGCACTGCCACTGTGAGCATGTGTGTGATGGGTCCATTTTGCTATTCCTGGGTTATTCCCCAGAATAATCTATTCAAGTTGAACATCTCTCTTCTCTAATCTGAAAGTATCAAATCCTGAATATTCCCCAAACCCAAAGCTTGTTGGGTACTTGTTGAGTATTTAGACTTGATTCCATCTTCAAGACCTAATACATAACGCAAGTATTCCAAATTCTACCCTTTCCCTGAAAAAGCCTCTGAAATATGCAACACTGAGTTCTATGAATCCCAAGAAAACAGAAGGACCTTAGTTTGAATGCCCAGTACATGTAAAAGTCAGAATTGCCCATGTATGCCTTATCAGCCTGGCACTGGGTAGGGGTAGAGCCAGGCAGATGAAAGCTCTGTGGACAGGAGGGCTACCCAAAACATCGAGTTTCAGGCTCTGTGAAGGATCCTGTCTTGAAAAATAAGGTGAAAAATGACAGGTGGAGACACCCAATCTTCTCCTCTGGCCTCTGCATGTACCTGCATCTGTGTGTCCCTCCCCCCATGTGTGTGCATGCATATACCTCACACACAAAGTTAAAACCAGTAAATTAGGCTTGTAGCCAGCCTTAACAAGGGCTGCATGAAAGAATATGGCTGATTATAACGGAAAGATGCATGAGATGATGCTGCCCACAGAATACCAGAGCTGTGAGTAGAAGGAAGGAGACGCTGGCTGGACCCGAGGGAACTGTCTCTGGATCACAGGGCCGGATATGAAGGGGCTAAGTCAATGCCCTCTGTCAAGGACCACTTATCGCACGGAACGGTAATCGGAGTTGAAAGAGAGGCAGAGCTGCGCCTCTCACAGGTGGTAACTGTTCCATCACATCCTGTACCTTAGTGTTGAAGCCTTCTGCATTCTGGGTGATTTTGTAGAGCTGTGGAAACCTCAGCATGCTCTCCTGAGTACAAGACCTCTCGAAGATTCCCAGAGTGAAGGGCGGCAACGCGGTGAAGATCTGTGTGGAGACAATAGGCCATTAAACACAGCTCTTCTGCTACACACTGTGCCAGTGTTTCAGCCCTGTGAATGATGACTTCACTTCTAGTCAAGTCCAAACCCGAAACTCCATGATTCACAGCTCCCCACATAGCCTTCAAACAAAACAAAAGAAACTAAAACAAAAAAAATTAAAAAGTAATTTTTTAAAAAAATTCTAATCCATGTAAACGAACCCACGGAACACTTAAAACATAAATTCCTGATGAGCTAAGAACTCAGTGGTGAACAGCTGCCCTTCTGTGTAGAACCAGCAGCAATGGTGCTCACACTACACTTAGCTCCAGGAAGTGGCATGTTTTCTATCAGTGCTGGCCGCATGAGTTGTACAGCTTTTCCTCCTGATTCTCTCCTCACAGTTTAGGAGGCATATCTGCTTCGTTTATCCATTCAATGGTCACTTACTGTGAAGGAGATGGAGGCAGACAATGGGTGGTGCACTGAGAATCCAATCACTTCTTCAGAGAGGAAGGAAGGCTTGGAAGTTTCTGAGGCCCTGTGTCTACTGCAGAGGAGGTGACCATGACAACAGAGTGGCAGGGATGCAACTGTGTGAAGGGGGGGTTTCAGTGAAGTTGCTCAGCCAGATATTACTGCGCCATTATGAGGAAAGGCCCAGTGCACCAGAGTGTAGACTTGCAGGGCACGGGACCTATAAGATTTGGCAAGATGATGTTGGATGTGGGGAAGGTGCTCCTGGTGCCTCCTTTGAGAAGATCACCCTTCTAAAACTCTCAGCATTGACAACACGCCTTGGGGAAACCTGTAGCATGCAAAGGATGTGGCTGGCTGAGGACACAGTACAAAGATGAAAGGAGACCACAGAGACACTCTGGGGCACTAAGTATTGGGTAGATAGAGTCTCTGAGGTGCCAACTTTCACACGTTCTCCTCAGGAGTCAGCGGTGCCTGTGTTTCTGTGTTGCAGAATAAAGCCAGATGCTGAAGATGGGTTTGGAAGGAATTTGCTGTTTCAGTCTGGGGCATGGGGTCACTCTCTCACTTGGTTCTGGCAAGTTCAAAGAGACTGGCCCGTAATGTATCCTCTGTTTTGATGGAATCTATACCCACAAACCCAGCCAGCGCTGCAGCCATGGAATCCAACAAGCCCCTCTAAGAGAATCTCAAACCCACTCCAGTTACCTGGAGACTGAGAGTCTGACCAGCAACGCACACCTTTCCCAAGGCTGCTGGGGTCAGACAGGTGAGCGAGGCCAGTGACTCTACCAAGCCAAGGCCTTGGCCCAGGCCTGGTGGAAAGCCATCCTGCAACTTCAACAAGTTACAAGGAGACTAAGAACTGCCACTGTCACTTCTCTGCAGCAACAGAAGCTGCTTGTTTCACGGCCAGCACAAGGCATGGCCAAGGACTGTCTCAGCCGCTCTGCATATATTTTGGGTTCATCTTTCACCTCCATTGTTCCGAACTGGTACACGCATCATGCGTATGCCAGCACAAACTGCTAGCTTTCCCCTTCCTGTCTTATCTGAATCTCTTCAATCCACTTCAAGCCCTCTCCACCCTTCATTACTGGCAGACAGCCCAGCAAGCTCTACCATACTTTTACCCTACTTAAAGCATACTGCGCTCACCTATGCAGCCTGGTTGAGGACACATTTTTTTTTTTTAAAACAAAATGGAGACCTTACACACATTTATCTTCATCATAATTTTCTTGCTAAACAATACATCATGGAAAGTCCTGCAAGCTTCTTGGATTTAACACTAGTGCAGTCCTTTTAGTGCTCTGTAGTGTTTACATAATAATTCACAGCAGGGAAGTGCCATACTTTTGAGTCATTAATCCACCGGCAGGCAATCATTTTGATTCCAGCTTTTTAAAAAAATTGTTACCACAAACATGTAACAAGCATTTATTATATGGTCCCATATATGCTTTGCTTTTATTCCATGGGAGGAAGAGCTGCTGGGTATAGAAGGAAACATGTAGTTTTAATTTTATCAGATGTTGGCAGCTTGCATTCAAGAGAGTTCCAACCTTTTATATCTCCCTCTGCAAAGAGCAAGAGGGGCCTTTACCAGCTTCCCTATGGGCAGGGTTATACTCTATGTTTACTGTTCTCTTGTCCGAAAAAGTCAAGATATAAACTCTTACTCTAAAATTTTTACATTTCCCTGCCTACCAGTGAGTCTGCACATGTTGACCATCTGGATCGGCCTCTTTTGGCAACATTTAGCTAGGTCCTTTCTTGCTCCCCACCCCTGGTTATCTGAATCTGGAGTTCCTTGAGTTCCCAGCTAGGTCTGCAGGTTGCGTTCATTGTTTATTGGCTTTTTTTCTTTCCTAAATGGTTCTTTTTGTAACCTAAACGTTTTTTAGGTTTTAAGTGGTCAAAAAAGAGCTTTGGACTACCCACTTATGGACAGTTTTCCCACCCTGAAGTTTACGTGTAGGTTTTAGGAGCATGCTGGGGGCGTCCCACAGTTTTATTTTTCCTATTTGGAATTTATTTTTCTATGAGGTATATGCTAAACATTCACTTTTTCCCAGATAATGAACCAGATGTGAAAACACAATTAATTCACACTTTCCCACAAGGTTGAAAAGAAAAATCACCATTAAGGTTTATTAGACACTGATGTACTGTTGTTCTAGACTCTGGAAGTGGAATCCAGTTCTAGAATCTCTGACTGGGTTTGTCAGAAACATACAGTTCTTGATGGTACTTTCGGGGCTAGTCTGATAGTACAGACTACAATCTCTTCTAAATGTGTGTTGTGTATCCTTATTTCCACTTATACTTTCTAGAGTGCCACACAGCTGTTCTTGCACCCAGCAGACCTGTTCACACCAGATAAATGTGTACCCTCCAGAACTGTTCACACATGTAAATGTGCACCCCTCGGTCCTGTTCACAATGTGTAAATGTGCACCCCTCAGACCTGTTCACACCATGTAAATGTGCACCCCTTAGTCCTACTCACACTGTGTAAATGTGCACCCCTCTGTCCTGTTCACACTGTGAAATTTGTACACCCTCAGACCTGTTCACACCATGTAAATATGCACCCCCTAGACTTGTTCACACTGTGTAAATGTGCACCCCTCAGACCTGTTCACACTGTGTAAATGTGCACCCCTCAGACCTGTTCACACTGTGTAAATGTACACATTAACTTGAGAAGTGATGCCTTTGTAATGGCCTTAAAAGTCTTCCTGTATAAGCAAACAGTACAATTGCTGTTTAAACCCCGCTTTTAAGTCTTTATTTTTGTGTCCTTTTTCAGAGGTCCTGGGGACTGTGCATAGTAGGTGTGTACTCTACCATCGAGCTGTATCCCTAGCCCTACTTAATTTTACTGTTGAATTCTGAGACAGATTTTACTAAGTGGCCAGAGCCAGCCTTGAACTCACTCCACAGCCCAGGTGGTGTGAAGTTTTACCTCCTCTGGCCTCAGCCTCTGTAGTAGCCAGGATTACAGTATAGATGCTTTGAGGCCCAGGTGACTTAATCTTTCATTAAGACAGTGGGGTATTTCATATGGATACCATAAAATTGCAAGTATTAATTTATAATTTTAAAATACATGAAGACAGAGTCACCCTATGCTATCTGGCTGGTCCCCAAATCTTGAGGCCAAATGATTCTCCCTGCCTCAGTCTCTCAGGTAGCTGGGACTTGGGCATGTGCCGCTCTGGCCAGCAATGTACGAGTTTGTTTTCTGAAAGGAGTTCTTATTATGTTTGCAGTTTTTTAGGAACCCATTGAAATAGAAATAGATTTAGAATTTAGAAATAGCCCATACACTTAGAAACCGAATTACTGATTACTAGAACAGAAAAAAAAAAAAAAAAAAAAAGCCCTGTCTGGCTCTTTTGGAATTCTCCCATATTTCTAGTATTTTGTTGTTGTTGTTGTTGTTGTTGGTTTCTCCTGGATTTTCTGGATAAGCAATCATACATGACCATATTCATGAGACCATTGTTTCATTTGCATGAGTATTTGAATAAGCATTGAAGCTGCTCAGGATTTCCTAATATTTGTGGCAGCTGATTAACTTTTAACTACAACCAATCACTTTTAACTACAACCAATCACAATGCATAGTTGTGGAGGCCAGTCCCAATGACTGTACCTATGAAACACCCCTGCACCTGAGGCTCAGGGAACATGAATGAAGAGGGGGCAGAAAGACTGTGAGAGTATTTTGAGTCATGCAAACATGAAGTCTCATTCTGTCTAAAGGGCCGAGGCAAACTGAAAAGCAACACTTTACATTAGCTGGCTGGGGGAGTCAAACTTTAAAAAATGGCACAAGAGGAGACAAAGCAGGAAAGAAATACTGCAAATGCTTCACATCTCACAGGCCGCCTGCCCCTTGTGAAAGCTCTCTGACTGCGGACTGGAACCAAGTTGCATAATAGGACATTGCTGAGAAAATAACTGCAAAATTAAGAATGGATTCTCTGGGTGTTGGTGGCACACATCATTAATCCCAGCACTTGGGAGGCAGAGGCAGGGGGATCTCTGTGAGTTCGAGGCCAGCCTGGTCTCCAGAGTGAGTGCCAACATAGGCTCCAAAGCTACACAGAGAAACCCTGTCTTGAAAAACCAAAAAAAAAAAAAAAAAAAAAAAAAGAACGACAATGTGCACTCAGCTGGTTCAGAGTATGTATGTATGTATGTATGTATGTATGTATGTATGTATGTATGTATGTATGTATGTGAGTGTGTACACATGCACGCATGGACACATGTAGGTGGGCACATGCATGGAGAGAGAGCAAATGGGGGCACAGTGCTAAAAATGGGCAAATCCAAGTAAAGAATAGCTAGGAGTTCTTTGTGCTCCTTTTTATAACTTTAATTTCAATTTTTTCATATTTCTCACCAAAACAATTGCCATGGGAGAAATCTGCTATGATTTGGCTATGATCTAAATGTGTTTTCCAGAGAGTCTATACCTGGACGCTTGGTCTTCAGTGTGGGGTTGCTGGGGTGCTGAGAGCTTTAGGAGGTGGGGCCTAGTGCCAGGGGACCAGGTGAGGGGTTCACTAGGGCTGAAGAGATATGGCTAGCCAAAGTTGGATCTTCAGCTTTCCAGACTGTGGCCAGCTAAGCCTGTTTTCTTTATAAAGTATTCATCCTATGATATTTTGTCATGGCATCCACAAATGAGTGAAAATACCTTCATGTTCTCAAAAGGTTTCAAACTTCTAGTGTGAGAGATTCTAAGACTGAGGGTCTGGTACAAGTAGAAACACCTTTCTGACCAGCACCCCCAGCACCCTAGCATGCCCAGCACCCTAGCACCCCCAACACCCTAGCATGCCCAGCACCTAGCATGCCCAGCACTTAGCATGCCCAGCACCTAGCAGGCCCAGCACTTAGCATGCCCAGCACCTAGCATGCCCAGTACCTAGCACTTCCAGCAAACCAAGCACACCCTAGCACTTCTATCATACCCACCACCCACTTTAATAGCTATTCTATAGACTCTGGTAACCTAGGATCAATTCAACTCAGAACTGATCTGTCTGCTAGAGTCTTCTATTGGTTGGTGGGCATTGTATATACAAAACACATTAAAGGTTGTGGTGGTTCTCAACTTTCCACAGGCACAACACTCCCCGGAGCATTCTTTCAAAAGCACATACATCTCTGCGACACTCTCTACTGAATGTCTGGGGGCTCAGGGATCTGCAAGTTTTTTTGTTTGTTTTGTTTTGTTTTGTTTTGTTTTTCGAGACAGGGTTTCTCTGTGTAGCTTTGGAGCCTATCCTGGCACTCGCTCTGGAGACCAGACTGGCCTCGAACTCACAGAGATCCGCCTGCCTCTGCCTCCTGAGTGCTGGGATTAAAGGCGTGCGCCACCAATGCCTGGCAATCTGTAGTTTTTAAAAAACAAACCCTTGTTTTTCTTTCTTGAGAATGGACGATAGGCCTTGTTTCGATCAACACTGTTCTTCAGCTTCCTTTAGTTACGTGGCTAAAATTTCTTAGGCGCTTTGATTTGAATTTCCCAAAGCTACCCAGAGCTGAGAAAACCATCCTGCCCTCATAACCTGAGCATGAAAACAGGGCTAACCCGTACTCATCCCACAGGGTGACATGCATCCTAGGCTGCCCTTAACTCTAAAGCATAGCCTCCCAGGGAATCAACTTCATGTTTGAGCTAGGTGTGTGGTATGGGTTTCTATGTGGCTTCTCTAGCTATCCCCCTTCCCTCTCTCTCTCTCTCTCTCTCTCTCTCTCTCTCTCTCTCTCTCTAGCTATCTCTAGTCTCTATCAGTACACAGAAGCAAGGCCTTTGAGCCATGGCTGTGGGGACTGTGGTTAATTCAGCCCCTCTCTCTACTGTTCACCTTTTAGTGGGCCTGCACAAGCAGGCAATATAGTCAACTAACTGACCACCACAGCTCAAATCAAAACTAGAACCCAGCCTGGCCAATGTCTGAGACCGCACTTGATCCAGGTCACACTTTGTGTTCAGCATTTTATAGCCAACAGGGTAGCTACTGAGAAAAGTGGGCTGGAGGCTGTGACTAAACAGCCATCAATGCACACAGTACCATGAGCTGTTTTAGCCACACTCCCTCCATCCCACCTATACCTCCCTGGGGCAGCTACATCAGAGGTTAAACCCCACTAAGTGCTCTTAAGAAGCTAGGATTGGTGCACCAAGCAGCAGGAGAGAGCAAAGCAACCTAAGAGATGAGCCACTTTAGTGACCCACTATAGTCTCCATGACATTTAGACCCATCTGCCCCTTTGTTCTTTCTGCCAGAGAAACAAGAAAACTAGGCAATTTAGTTCAGAATTTTCACTTATTTTTGGCTTTTGTTATTTATCCATCAAGTAATAAAAACAAAACAAAACAAAGCAAAAACAAAACAAACAAACAAACCAAAAAAAACCCCCAAGAAAACCCAGACACTGCTGAGTGTTCTTATAGGATTGGGAAGTCAGAATTCAAAGACTTTCTTCCAAGAAAGGCAAAAAGCTCACTAGGTCATATGCCCTTTGTCTATATCTATGTTTAAGAATTCAGAAGTAAAGTTGTAAGATGGAGTGAGTTTAGATGCAGGACAGACATTTTTACTTGAAAATGTTGCAGAGGCATTTAGCAAGAGGGTAGCCAGGGGTCTATTACCAAGATATATGGGTTAATAATTTCATGGGGCTACTCAAGAATGATCTGCTATGATTGAAACCAGGTGTGGAGAGTTTGGGCTTCTGCAGGATGTGTCACAGCAACAAAGGCCCTAAAGATATATTTGTGCTGCCTGCTAAGTACACAGATGATTGGCTTAGATACACTTCCCAGACATAAACAGTGAAGGAGTGCTCCTGAAGTCCCATGTGCTATCAGATAGGAAGGGGAATGCTTACCACATTGTACAAGCCGATGCACCAGCGCTCAAATAAAATCTGCCCAGAAAATCCATTAACAAAGGCGAACCAAAGCTGCAAGAGAACAAAGTTCGTCAAGTTTTATATCAATATTGACCTAAATGTTTCCCCTCACTGAGAAGTAGCAGGGAATGTGGACCGCCAGCTGGACACAGCTGCCAAGACAGACTGTGTGCCAGGACTGTGGCAGTTATCCTTTCAAGGAATATAAATTCCCAATATCATAAATATCAATATCTTAAAGAAAATTCCTATTAAGGATGCACCAACTTTGGGAGGTTATATGTACCATGTGTAAAGGGAGACAAACCTATACCAAATATGCTTTGAGTCAACACTTTCTGATTGACTGAACAAGTCTGAACTTCAGGCATTTTTCCCCTATAAAATTCATTTGATGAATACGTTTTCTCTTTGTAGGACATTGCCAAATAGCTAAAGATCATAACTAATTAAAAACCAAGAAACACTTCTGTCGGCCATATACTGCGTTGTTAGTTGACAAAATAGTAACTTCCTTAATTGACTGTCCCCCACCTCAGCAAAGATCAAGAAGACACAATAAGAATCATGCTTAAATCATCTTTTATGATAACATAGATATATTAGTAAATAAAATGCTGGCTTATCATTCATGAGCAGCAATAAAGCAAAGTGCTATATGCCAGACAACAGATTAATAGCTAAAATACATAGTTTTTCAGAAAGTAAACGAGAAATAAACAAACACTTCAATCTGAATGAAAAAATGAATTAATTGGACAGAATGCTCTCAGAAGGTGATGTAAAATGGCCAGCAAATGCATGAGAAAAGTCTGCAACCTTAGCCCCCAGGGATATGCAAATTAAACTGCAATCCATCTCAATCAAAATGACATCATCAAGCAAACAAATGGCAACAGTGGTAGTTTGAATAAGAATGCTCTCCATAGGCAGAGTGCACAGGCAGTACTCAGAGGATAGTTTGAGAGAGTTGGTTCTCTCCTTCCACCACCTGGGTCTCCTGGATAAAACTCAGAAGTCAGGCTTGGCACTAAGTGCCTTAGTGGCTGATCTATCTTTCTGACTCATAAAAATTTTAAAGTATATTAAAATAACAAAAAAATTACAAAAGTATTCAAAAATACAATAGAAGAAAAAAATTTAAAAGCTCATGGTGCAAATGAAAGATGGATCCTTTGACTTAGGAAAGAAAAAAGGAGAGAGAAATAGAAATGGATCAGTTAACATTCACACATCTGCTGACATAGGAGTTAGTATGTTTATTATTTATTAATTTGTTGACTTCTGGGGCTGGGGCTCTTCTAATCCGCAGCCACATGCATGCTAAGTATATGCTCTACAACTGGCTCTCTCTCCCCACCTGCACTTTAAATGTTATAAAATTAATGCAATATATTCAATGAGAAGAGGCCATTAACCTGCAAAGGGAAATGATGAAGCTGGCTTCCCACTTCTCCCTAGCAAGACATCAGAATAGAGACAGGCGGCTAAAGTTTAGAAGTCTCAGTGAAACAGTGTGACAAGAACTTCAGCAAGCTATGAAAACCAAAGAAAAAAAATCAAACCCGGACAACATTCAGGGACAAAGGAAGCAATACCCTATGTCTATTATATTGCCCAGCAGATTAAAAAAATCTAAAACATGCATTCTATACAAGAGACACATTTTTAAAAGCATGGGTTAAAAAAAAAAAAAACTCTATTAGAATAAAGTCAAATTCCTAACTGTCTCACAAGCCAGCAGAATCAGACTCCACCCTGCTTCTTCCCTTCCCCTTTCCCTTCTTCTTCTTCCCCTTTCTCCCTTCCCTCCCTCCTTCCTTTCTTTCTTCCTTCCTCCCCCTCCCCTTCCTTCCTTCCTTCCTTCCTTCCTTCCTTCTCTTTCTTTCTTTCTTTCTTTCTTTCTTTCTTTCTTTCTTTCTTTCTTTCTTTCTTTTTTTCCCTGAGTAGAGGGCAGAGTCACAGTAGCCCACTGCACTTTCTGCCTCTTTGCTCAGTAATTGTGGTGCTAGGGATAAACCCAATGACCAGCTTATACCAGGCCAACACTCCACCACCAAGCTACATTGGAGACCCTCAGAAATTTTGTTTTTATTAAACCCCTCACAGCGTTATTACTTTTTATCTGCCAAGTGGACAAAGAGGTTAGTTTGACAAGTTGAAGAACTAGCTACTCTAATCCTTAGTTAGCAATGCAGCATTTAAGTGTTCAAAGTACGTTCCTTTGGCTTGAGGATTTCCCTTCCAGGAACACACTCTTCATTATTTAAATCTCACAGCTTTAGTCATGTGGTACTCCACACAAAAATGTAAAAGTGTTTGCTTTGACATTATTTGAAAAAATAGAACCTGTATACACTACATGATAATGGCTGCAGAGGACTCATTTTTTAATAAGCACAATTATATCATAATATGGCACTTGGAGGACTTCGTCGGATTCCATGGCCGGGTGAGGGACAAACACACCAGACAGACAGAGCTTATGTGGGAAGTTTTATTGGGAGAGCAGGGAGAGAAGAGAAAGAGAGAGGAGAGGAAAGAAGAGAGAAATAGAGGAAGAGGGAGACAGGAAAAGTCCTGTCTGTCCCTTCAGAGGAACAGCAGGAAAGAGAGTGACAGTGGGTGGAGTTTTCCTCTTAAAGGGTCCTTTGCACCTGTGTGCAGACTATATAGTGACCCAGCAGCCATAGGGCCCTGGGCTGGCCAGGGTACTGCCTGAGTGCATTCTGCCAGTTGACAAGGGGCAGGCCAGCACAATGCCTGAATCCTAACAAATAATCTATCTAGAAGAGTACTATAAGTCCATATGCATCTATTGTCACATAGAAAGCTCCTAAACACATCACGGAAAGAAAAATCAAGGTGCAAAACAAGGATGTCTTTTGAAGTCCTGCACTTTGGAGACTGAGGCAAGAGGATCTTGATTTTGGTGCCAGCCTGGACTACATAGCAAGACTCTGTCTCAAAAAAAAAAAAAAAAAAAAAAAAAAAAAAAAAAAAAAAAGAACACCAACCAAAACCATTGAAACTCATACTCATGACGTCTTGCTGGGACACGTCATCGACCCCAAACAGTCATTATCTTTCTATGGTTCTTTCTGAGCAGCAAAGGGGAGACTCATATATGTCCTTCTAGTACCTTGAACTTTCAAAACATCTGTGCTTTATTTACATAACTGAGGCAGTTTTCCACTACAGACAAGTTGCCAAGGAGGAGACATTTCCTGGTGTGTGGAGATCCCCTCCAAGGTCATCACCTGAAGGAGGATGCTAATTGCCATGGAGTCTGCTGAACCCCCTACACAGCCCAAGAGGGCCCCTGACAATGACCTGATTCGACCCCCAACTAACTGTCGGTAACACATTATGGAGAAATCCTGGATATATTAGGCTAGCCTGGTGCACCAAGCTGTGACCATGGCTCATCTTAAGGGGCCAGAGTAGCACTGGAAGTGGATTAAGCAACTTCACAAATTTAAGCCTACACAGTGCCACATATTTCTAAAATAAATCACTGAGAAGTTGTTTTAAAGAGCTAGTACAAACTTTTTATGAGCAAAGTGATAATTTCTAATAAGAAGGAAGAAAACAATCTTCAGAGAGTTCTTATCTCCTTCTATGGATTGACTCTGAGACAGTGATGGCTCGATTCCTACCAATTACAGGTACAAAACCTCTGGGGGTCACTTCAGAGTGGGGACTTGGACTCCCCCTGCTCCCCCACCCCAGGCAGCAGCAGCTGTTCTGACAGCTCAGCTGGCACAGGCCTGTTTCCTCACAGTCTGGAGTGTTGGCACTCATTTTTATCATTTGCAGGTGCTGCTGGGTTTCCAAGTGTAAACAAACTCATTCCTAACATTTTCATCTGCATTCCAGTCACCAGTCATTGGATGATTAGACCTCTTTATTTGATTGGAAGTTTGTTTTTTTGTTTTTTTTCTTTGGTAGAGGAAAATGAAACCCAAAATACACAAAAACAAACTCCCTCCCCCTGCCCCCTGTAAAAATTCAAATTTGATTTCATTTTGGCAAGATTTTCATAGATAAAGGGAAAAGTATGAAAATGTACTGTATTTTCAAACATTTATACCAACGGACTTCGTTTTTATTTTATTTACTTGCGGGGCAGGTACACGATGCCTCTCTGACACACTATAAAATCAGGCTTTCACACCACTTAGTCATATACAAATGTTAATTCATATATAAAAAACAGCACCACCCAATTCCTGAACACTAAGGTCATTTTTGGTGGGCCACTGACTCTCAGGTTCATAGACCAAACACCGCCCTCAATGCAAACAGATGGCCTGTGCCCTCAACTGGCAGCTCTTGGAGAGCTGTGTGCTTGTGGCCACTGGGCTTTACCCTTTTGGATTAATGGGAGGAAAGATTCCTCTGCCTTAACTTTCTTATTAACCAGGAATGCTCTTAAATGAACTAAGCCAAAGCCTAGGCTGGGCAGCCTCAGACTTGGTGGGTTGGTGGGAGGCCTGCCAATCACTGCCGCTTGCCAAGCTCCTGGGGTTTGGGTCCTCAAATGTAGGGCTGTTATGAGCAAACTGACCCAAACTTACTAAATGGCTTTTCCTTCTTGGGGAAAGATCCCTCTTTCTTTAACAGCTGCCGAACTGCCAAAAGCGTAGTAACTTGGTTGGCTAATTGTACAGGCTCCTGTCTGGAGGAGTGGCTGCCAGTGTTCAACCTCAGTGGGTCATACCTGTCACTGCTCCCAGCTAATAGCCAATGTGTTTAATGGATGACTTTGGCTTGGGGAAAGGGATGGCTTGTCCCTCTAGGTGCCTGGAAGAATATGGGAGGGGAAGGTGCCCCACAGAGAACGATGAATAAATTAGCCGTCTGATTTCTTACTGAAGGGCAACTGTAATATGATCTAATGGTTTGCACATCAGGTCTGAGACAATGAACTGGGATTAAAGACATTAGTTTCAATGACAAATTGCTGCTTTCCCTTTTTCCCATTTAACCTGGCTATATGAATCAAAAGCAAAAAACCTAAATATGTCCTTTGTCTAAAATTCTATTTC